TTTTAATTTCACTGATTTGAGTATTATACATTTTGTGTGTATATATATATATATATGAGCATAGTTTGTTTTACTATCATACTTGTAACCAAAAACACTTGTATATCAAGATGAATTTCCCCAAAATAAATAATGGAAACTTAGATGATTCCACAACCCCAAAATATTCATATTAAAATGATTACAATACTGTAACGTAATACAAAATAATTAAAAATTTCAAAATGCAAAGAAAAATCAGTAACCTGCAGTTACCATTGAAAAATTTTGCAGATGGTGTGAGGGAGATGAGAGAGGAGAGTTATTAGATAGGACAACTTTTACTATCACTAACGGACTCACTGCTATCTATTGGCTCAATGGAATCTTTTTCTTGTCATGAAACTTTAACAAGGAACCAACCTATCCAGTGGCACCTACTTTTGAATCCTTTGAAGATTTCATGGAAGTATGACATTCCACTGTTGTTAAATAGATCCAGTGCTTGCAAAACTACAGCCTTACTGATGGGCAGGTGGGCTGTTTCCAAGTTTTAGCTATTACAAACTGTGCTGCTATAAACATGGGTGCGCATATATCACTGTATTATGATTCTTTTAATTCTTTTGGAAAGATACCCAACAGAGGGATGGCTGGATCAAATGGAACCTCTAATCCTAGTTCTTTGAGGTATCTCCATATTGACTTCCATAGTGGTTGCACCAGTCTGCACTCCCACCAACAATGGAGAAGGGTTCCTTTCTCCCCATCATTTGGAAACTGGATAAAGAAAATGTGGTTTTTCTATAAAATGGAGTACTACTTAGCCATAAGTAGATTCATTCATAGGTAAATGGGTACATTTTGATGATATACTCCTAAGTGAAATAAATAAGTCACACATGTGTAAATACCAAATAGTTTCTCTGGTGTGAAAAACTAAAATAGTACACAAGATCCTAATGGGTTAATTATCAAAGTGAAACAGGAAGAAAAGGACTAAAGATGTAGGGACACTGAAAAGGGTAGGGGAAGGGGAATAAGGGAAAGGGAAAAATATGAGAAAATGTAAAAATGGAATTAAAGTGCTTGTAGGTGTGGCAGGGAAGGGGGAAGGGGGGGCAAGGGGGAAAATGAGAACCAAGACCTGTCATGTAGAGGCACAAGATCCCAGTAATGAATGTAACTGTACTGTCTACCTAGAATGTACCAATAAATTGAATTTAAATTAAAAAAACTACAGCCTTATATGGGTGCTACTTTTCTATAAAATTTCCCACATTTTACACATCTCCTTAATCTCATTTGGAGATTCCTCTGTCTTTTTCTCCTCCTCCTCGCAGACATGATTTCCTCTGCAACCTCAGGCTATTGGGAAATGATGACCCACAGTCCCAGAGCAAGAGAGAAGGAATTAGAAAATTGTTGGCTCAGTTGTGATCATGTGACATTGAACAGCACATACTTTTGGTATTGTAAGATATAGCTTGTTTAATTTAGAAATATTTGTTCCTCATGAGGAACAGTCACTTACAAAGTTTTTACTGTACATACTAATAAAAACATTTTTAAATGTTCAAGGACATAGAAATGCTAACAACACAGTTTATCACACATATGTTGCACACATATATTAAATTATCATGTGGAACCTCTTAAATATGTACTATTAAACATATTATTCAAACAATTACTAGGAAAAGTTGAATTAATTTTATTGTGAAAATTTAAGGACAGAGCTCAGCGACACCCAGGAAGAAAACTTTACCTGTCAAATTTTTGAAAGAGGAAAGATTTGGGGTAGAAATAGAAATTATTAATGAATAAAAAAACCCTGGATCAATATGTAAACCAATTGGAAGATAGATCTAAAGAAGACAGCTGTTCTGGTGCTAAATATTGATAAGCAGTCAATGAAGAGGATATTTTAGAAATGCGGCTGGTGTTTCTAGAGTGCATATTCAATGGAATGGGAAGAAAAAAAAGGAAGTTGCAAAGATTTGAGAAAATCATAGGAGAAAGAGGTGGGTCAGCAGCAAAAATAGTATCAGTGGGGAAGTTATATAAAAGGTTTAGGAAGATTGCTATTTGTTCATTTTCATTTTTCTGTCTTTAAATATACTGGAAAATATAAAAATGTATAAATTTAAGGTATACAATGAGACATTTTGACAGAAATATTTGTTGTGAGATTACTACCAAAGTCTAGAAAGTTAACATTTACATCATTTCACCTAGTTACCTTTATTGGTGCGTATTTGTGATGAAACAGCATCTATGGTCTTAGCAAATTTCAAGTTTACAGTACACTATTATAAATTATAGTTAACATGGTGTATTTTAGATTTCCAGAATTTATTCATCCTGCATAATTGAAACTTTGTATTCTTTGAACCAAATCTTTCCATTCCCTCTAATTTCAGCCTTTGTTCACCATTAGTGTATTTTCTGCTTCTATGAATTAAAATTTTAAATGTATTTCTAAATGATATTATAGCAGTACTTGTCTCTTTGTGTCTGCTATATTTCACTTAACATAGTATCCTTCAGTTTTATCCATATTTATATAAATTGCAGAATTATATTAATGTTGAATGTATTCTATTTTATGTGTATATACAAACATATCATATCTTAACTCAATCATTTAAATATTCTTTGATAAACAAGTCCTTTGGTTCTGTATGTGGTTATTGTATTTTATGTATTGCTTTTAATGTAGCCATTAATCTGAAAGTGAAAATATCTATCAGTGGATGTACTTACTAATTTAGAGGCCACAAACTGGACAAAGGGTCCCCTTTATCTACATTCTCACTAGCACTTATTGACTTTTTTTTAAATAGCCAATCTGCCATGTATAAGGTGGTCTCTCATTGTGGTTTTGATTTACATTTCCTTTATGGTCAGTGATACTGCATTCTTTTCAAGTACCTATTAGCCATTTTTATGTGTTTTTTTAAAATATAAACGATCATGTCTTTGATGGTTAATTCATTTGGGGAATTTTTAAATGTGGAATATTTGTTTAGTTTCATTTTTTTTTGTATTTGTCCATTATGTATTTTGTATATTAAACCATTGTCAAGTTTATACCTTGCAAATACTTTTTCACATTTCCCAAGTTGCATTTACATTCTGTCATTTTTTTTTTCTTGCTATGCAGAAACTGTTTTATGAGTTCAATTCAGGGGAGTGTTAGCATTAAACAAAATGAAGAGATAGATTTCTTTGGATGAAAGTTTCAAAGCATTATCTTGTCAAACAACTGGAAACTATTCGTAGTCAGCCTGAATATTGTTTTTCAGGGTTAAACTTTGAGTTTCTAGCAAAATTCCCTTGTGGCTATTTTTTATTATTTTTATTAGCACATGTAAGTTTAAGAATAAATAAATACATTAATTTATGTGCATATGAAAAGTAAATGTTAACAAGAACCAACTAAGGTGGAAAGGAAAGCAAATGAGAGATAGGGCTTTTTAAAGTAAGATAGAAACAATATGTTATTGAACTGATTAATTGCTTACAATTTCATCTTGAGGCATGATAATGAAAATTTTCACATAAATATGTCAATTATTAAAGTAATTAAGTAGATAAGCTTATTATTTTAATGAATACATTCACAATATTAGTTTTAAATAAATTTCTGAATCAAATAATAATAGAATCCATAGTCTTAATCCTCTTTACCTATAAAGAAGAGCTGTCTTTCTACTTTTTATCTGTTTTTTTATTATGTTCCTATTATTGTGGGTTTCCATATCAGAAAAACCATGTAATAACTAAGATTATGTGTCTAAATTAGCTTACTTCTTGTAGTCTCAAGGTATATCTATTTTTTTACAACAGACTCAAATTTTGACAGATTAATATCCCATTGTGTGTAAATACCACATTTTCTTTATCCATTCATCTGTTGAACATGGAGGCCGTTTCCAAAGTTAAGCTATTATGGATTGTGCTGCTATAAACCACGGGTATGCATGTATCACTGTGGTATGATGTCTTGAATCCTTTCGGGAAGAAACATCATGTGCTACAAACATGTTCTAAAAGAAAGGAAGATGAACAAAGGGATAAGAGGGGAAGAAAGGAAGAGGAAGGGGATAAGAAAAGGAATTAAGATGTGTTGTGTGAATGCATTTCCCACAGGAAATGTAAATATCATGTATTAGATACATGTGCTATAAAAATAAAAACGAATCTGCATTCTTATTAAAGTTATATGTAATGGGCTAAGAAAAATTCAAATTTTACAAGGAATATAAATTCAATACAAAGGTATTACACAATATCAAACTTTTAAGACGTGAAACATTAATGAAGAACCAACTGAATATCTCTGCTCATGAAATGATGGTGTAACGAAAGTGGCAATACAAAATTTGTAATGAGTTAATGTATTTGCATTACATATAACTGAAAGATAAAAGATTCTTAACAGCTTTAAGAGCAAAAATTCTGTAAAATCTGTACAGTTAATTTGCAAAATAATTTTGTCATTGTCTATAGTTTGAGATGCACGTAATACATCTTAAGATGCATTTGGTAACAACTCAACTGCTCTATTCCTACTTTGTATTCTGGGAGAATTTTTCTTCATGAATATGAAAATACCCATGAAAACATGCATAACAGTGTTCTTCATAACATCGCAAAGCAACTCTCATTTCCATTAGTAGTAAAGTAAAAAGTAAATTCTGGTAAAAAAAATCACTCAGTAGATTATTATAAAACATTTAAAGTTAAATGATAGTGCAAAAGAGAGCTAGTAATTAAAATTTTAGCAACATTATGTTAATAAAAGTTAAACTGAAAATCCCATATCAGCGTGAATATTATGATGACTATCAAATCTAACAACTCATCAATTTATTGTTTAAGTGCATTCATAAATTGGAGAAAGTTGTTCTAAGGAATGAGAAAAGAATCATGAATGTGAAATTTAAGGGCAAAGGGTCAAGCAAATGATATTGTGCTGGGAGCTATGTACCAAAATCTGTCCTTCTTTTTTCCAGGTTACAATATTAAATAACTCTGCCAGAATAACTGAGTGACAGGGGGCTAACTTCTTTTGAACAGAATGTGGATGAAGTGGTATACACAATTTAAAGTCTAGATGGAAGACCGACTACACTTTGAACTCTCGTGTGACAGTAACCCAATTTAACCATGGAAATGATGTAGGTAGCTTGAGCTAAGAGAATAATATTAAGAAATTTTAGAGTGTCAAGAGACTTGTAGATCTGGGATTTTTAAGGCTCACTGTGCCTGTTAGTATAGGCAAGAAATACTTCAATCTTTTAAATCGACAAAACCAGTTATTAATTTATTTTTTCTTCTGCAATCTACAATTGCTACAGCAAATGCAAATGGAGTAGAGGGGAGCATATAGTAATTTGGTAACTTTTAGTATTAATTTGGGATGGTTGGGTACTGGGTGTTAATTCCCTTCTGTATCAAATAAAAATGCTTTTGCTTTGCATATACACATAAATGTCAAATATTTCAGAGATAGAAAATACACATCTATGAATTCTAATATAAATCTATATATATCATAAGTAATAAAAGTAACCTAGAAAACTAGTATTCTTTAAGTAAAATATAAATGAAAACATCAAATATATGTTGACTTTAATTTCTTTTTTTTTTTTTTGGGTACCGGGGATCGAACTTGGGTCCTTGCGCTTGCAATGCAGGCCACCAAACTGCTGAGCTAAATCCCCAGCCCTTTGACTTTAATTTCTAAGATATTCGACTTTGGAAACAATTTTACCAGCTTGTCAATTTAGACAACAATAATATAAATAACATACTGATTTTATTTTTCAGTTTTTTGCATGTGTTTAAGAAGAAAACAGAAGTGCTCTTGACTACATTATTACTTTGTTTTTATTTTTTGTTTTTATTTTTTAATTTTTATTTATTTATTTTTTTAAGACACATTTTGCTATGTAGTTAAGGCCAGAATTGAACTCACTATGTAGCTCAGACTGGCCTTGAACTTGCAACAATCCTTCTGCCTCAGCCTCACAAATACTGGGATAACATTGTCACGTCCTATTACCTTACAACTTATTATTTAAACCATACAACTGTTTTGGTTGCTTTTACAATAGACAGCACAACATATCTTTCCAAATTTTCTACTTATAATCAGAAGACATATATACTATGACTACTGAAATTTTTTGTTATAAAGCAGTCACATGATATTGCCTAACTACACAGGTGAAGAGTGCTTGCCCCAAATCTCCAGAAGAGTGGATTAAAAAACTAAAACAAAAAAACATTAGTATTATATATTGAATACTGTGAAAATTTTAAAATAAAACAAAAGTAACATTTTTTTACAGTCCACATTTTTTGTTTTTCATATCTTTGGTTTATATATCTTCCTACAAATAAAATATGTGCAAGCCCTTTTGTTGTGACAAAGCAGAACACTTCAATGCTATAGCCAAATGTTACAGCTCAGTGTCAAAGCCATGTGTCACAGCCCTGAGGCACAGTTGAGTGTCACAGCTTAGTGTTATAGCTCTGGCTCAAGGCTATCACAATTTGAAGACTCAGGAATCTTATGGTCACTCAAAAAGGTGGAGAAAAACCTTTATTACTCCAGTGGACTCAGAGGAGTTTGTAATTGAAGTCTGAGTGCTCTACCAGAAATTCAAGCCTCCTTATATAAGTGATATACAGGATAAGCAAGTATACTCCCTGAAGCAGGGGATATGGAGTCTCAGAAACTTTCTGAAACATATGCCATGAGAGCACAGTCACTGAAGAAGAGGGGCAGAGGTACAGAGCATTCTTTCAATGGGTGGAGCTTAAAACATTCTTATAGGGGGTGGTGCTTAATAGAACATTCTTGAAAGGGGTGGAGCTTAAACTTCTTATGAGAAGCAGCCTAACACAACATTCTTGTGAGGGCACAGAGCTAAACGGAACAGTGCTGTGAGGGGGTAGAGTTTAACAGAAGATTCCTGAAGGGTCAAAACGCCTGACAGTTCAGTGTCACAAAGTATTTTGACACCTTGGGCATGAGAACTGCCCAGCAGCAGAAACTTTCATTTCTAGAACAAAACATTTTGTGGGAAAAAAAATGGGGATAAGGCAAGGGAAGGCAAAGGCCTATCTTATTGTGTATCATTGCTCTGTCACTTTGTGAGGGAGATAATTCAGTAGTCTAATCCAGTGTTTATTAAGAGAAGTATTTTTTTGGCAAAAGTATTATATATAGTTAAATGGTACAACATACTTGTTTCAGCCTTTTAATACTTGTTAATTGTTTTAAAATCCACTGCTAAAATTGGCTATATTGAAATAATTGGCTCTATTTATAATATGAAAAATTTTTAGTTTGAATTGTTATTTTGACTTTATAAGACAGTTCAGGCATATTGAACTATTTCAAAGAGGTTTTTAAGAGTAATACTGTATTAATTAACATGAAATTGAATTAAGAATATTTAGACATAGACAGCATAACAATTAAGTGTACTATTGCAGATTTTTCTTCCTCTATTCTATGAAGTTGTTTTTTGACTCAGGCTATAAATTTATCCCTGCTTTCTGATATTATAGTACTATTAATATGTTACTTAAGAGGCAATATTACTATAATATCATTTTTTTCCATGATAATTAATCTCACCAGGGATTTAGCCCACTGCCTGCCTTGCAAACACAAGGACCCCAGTTCGATCACCAGCACCAAAAAAAAAAAAAAAAAAAAAAAA